ATTAGTATTATTCCGGCATTTTTTTGATTCATTTTTTCTTTTAGAATATTACAGTTTATTTTTTTTTATTAGTTCTGAACTTCTCATTTTAATATATATATATATATGTATAATCTTAGATAATTGGCACTGACATATTTCATATGGAAAAATACCAAAAAATTAATAACTAAAAATATAGCTAATCGATGTCAATGACAATATTTACTTWAAAYACTTTGTTACTTACCTAATATAATCCTAGACCTAACWAGTGTAGTAGTACCTAGGAGTACTACTAAAAATCCTGGAGCCAACTAATGTAGTACCTATGACTTAACCCTAGTACTCAGGATTCAACTAGGATGCGCCGAAAAGCTTTGCTATCATTATTATTTATGACATGTCGAGTACTTACCCAATTGATGTTTTTCACGTCGATGACCTGCAGGCATGCTGTATTCTTGTGAGCTATAATCATTGCCGAATATTGTGAGACGCGTTTCGGACTGTCTTCAATTGCTGTATTGAAAGTTCTTCGGTTACTAGTCTCGACGGTTAGATTGTTAACCTTGACGTTTTTTAAACGATATAATATGTATATGAGTGTAAATGAGATTTGAGATTTTGTGGGGGTCGCATTTTTTTATGTAGTGGTGAACATTTTTTCATAGCGACTCCTATGAGGTGTAAATCTCCAGGATTAATACTTTTCTCCAGGCAATTCCCCCCTCCCCCAAATTTGTACTTGTACCTATGAACATGTGTGATATGTGTGACTGTACAAGAGTAAAAAGATGGAGAGAAAAAGTGACAACCAATCACCCGTCATCGATTAATTCAGTGAGTCAGCAATAATGATATTTTAGTAAGACCACGCAGACGTGTAACATTATCGTCACAACTCGTCTTCGCGGTTTTCAATCTTGTTATCATAAAGATTAAGATTGAGCTTAAGTCTTTTAGYATATGAATGTGTACACATAATTGCATATGAGTTTATGACGTTGTTTGGATATACGTCCTAATATTCTAATCATTATTAGAATGTTTTTGTTTTGATTGGAAATGAAGTAAAGTTGATCACGTATATAGGAAGATACCATTCTACCATTGCTGCACAGTTAAAATAAACATATTTGATTGGATCGTACAACTTTTATATGGCATACCTACATTACAATTTTAAATATTCAAGTACCAGCAAATACTTCAAAA